AACTGAACACGTAAAACCTTTTGTTTTCAAGACAGATTTTAAACATGTTTCTTTCATATTGAACATAACTATGTTATTTTTTACTCGTAGTATGAAGCCTGATTATATTATTTAAGAAAAAAATAATAATTAACGCGGTGTAGACACTCCTAACAAGACCTATATTGATCAGTTATGTTTAAGTACCTTGGTAACTAACTGATACTAAAGAACTCGTTAATGTCTTCAAAATTAATTGATTTTGTTTTTTTTTTATGAATTATTTCCGTAATTATTCTTACCTCTCTTGTTGTGTTTTATGAATGATGAAACAATGTATTGTTAAACTATGTGTATAGTTATCATGAATCAGTTGAAGCTAGACCACCATTGAAAACCTGGAAGCAATGGACGGCCATTTCGTCCTAGTATGGGACTCCTCAGCGGTGAGCATCCACGAACCCGCCCCCCGCGAGATTCGAACCCAGGACCTACTGGCTTCGCGCGCGAGCACTTAACCATTAGACTACTGAGCCGGCATCCAACGGTGTAAATGTCTAACTTCAACTAACCCACGAAGTTAAGTGCTCGCGCGCGGAGCCAGTAGGTCCTGGGTTCGAATCTCGCGGGGGGCGGGTTCGTGGATGCACACTGCTGAGGAGTCCCATACTAGGAAGAAACGACTGTCCATTGCTTCCAGGTTTTCAATGGTGGTCTGGCTTCAACTGACTCATGATTTCAACTTGATTAGAATTGTTTGCAACTGTCTATTATGAACATATTCAGTATAGTGTAGACCGATATATCAAACAAACAAAAAAATATATAATTCTAGCAAAAGTTAAGACCTGAAACGAAATCTATAATGAAAATCACACTGAAATATGTAATTCTATGAAATGAAAAGAAAAATCATTATCAGGATGGGGGATTTATGGAGATTGTAGTAATTACAGAACATGTTAATAAAATCTAACAACCATAAAGTAAATGCTCAATTTGCAAAATGACCATCAATTGTCTCAAAATGACTCAGACTTCATTGCTCTCGCATTTTCATACAAATTGCATTATGTTTCCATTCTTAACTGTTCGATCCTCTTGTCTCTGCTGCCGGACATTCTGTTCCTGACTAACTTCATATACTACTTATGTCGATATAAGTAGCACACACCATATCTTAAATATGAAGAGTATTGAAAAAGTTATTTGATCTTAATCTGATATTTTAAGTAGGATGAATCATAGATATTAATCACTATCTGGAACAAAAACGTTATAGTCTCATCTCGGATTAGATTAGTAAACTGTAAGAATAGTAAAATAAGTTCTCCTGTTATCATACTAACAAACTGACGATATACTATGCACACTAATAAAATATGAAGTGCATTAACACATTGTTCACCTTGTATTCTATGTATACAATAAAGTATTTTCAAAAAAATACGGAGTAATGTTTACATTGGGTCATCTGTATACATTCAAGAAATTGGAATATTTTATGAAGATTTCGATGGAGTTGTTTTTTTTGTTTTGTTGTTGCTGTTAGGAACTGACATTTACACAAAAACTAAGGAAGACTAAAGGTAGCTTTATATTCTAGTCTAAAAATTAACTTGGACGACTTTACATAGAATGAAACAAAAGTTCCTCAATTCTTGTAATAATTTCTTAAAGTCTGCTATCATAAATTTTCAATAAGATTAAAAAATTCCCCCCCCCCTCTTATGGTAACTTTCCCATTTTAACTTCCCCATTGGTCTAATGACTTAAGTTCAGAGCTATTTTCAATCTTTTATATATATATATATATATCAATAATTAATTGTGTTTCTCCCAACGTCCTCTATTCCATACGATACCAAATAAAACTCCCCATCTAATCACATATAAATAATTAATAATGAATTCTAACTATATATTCTATTGTTTCAAAGGTTTTCTTTATATTTTTGTTCATTCATTATCTTTCTGGTATACTATTGTATTTCTTCAACAGTTAGTTACAGTATATTGTTTTAATGAATCATTGAATGAAATTTATTTTTTGAACTAACTCAGGCGGCAAATTTAAATTAGTTAGAGAATTGTTGAAAATATAATGGAAGACTAGATAACTAATTTAACCCAGTTCTTATTCCTCTCAGAAATAGAATTGAAATGAAGACAATTATACCATGTGATGAGTATAATAGTGTCAAATCATTCAGTTGGAATCTATTAACTTATATTTTAAATTTCTTTTTGGCAATATGTGATATAACATGATTCATGTCATAATTCAACTTAAGAAATGTGAGGTGTTGAATTCTAGCTTAAAAGTATATTAGTTATAGGTAAACTTTCAAGTCCTCCGTTAGGCACATTCTAGAGTAATTCAAAACAATAGTTAATAAAGGTGTTTATTCGTGTCGAAAGTTATACGTCTGCATCAAATCCACCGTGTTCATCAATGATGCTGCCCAGATATGTAAAGGTTTTTACATCTTCCAAATCTTCTCCATCAAGTGTGATTCAATTGTTGAATGCTGTGTTGTATCGAAGAATCTTGCTTTTCCCTTTGTGTATGTTGAGACCTACTGCTGCTGAGGCTGCTGCTACACTGGTCGTCTTCTCTTGTGTTTGTTGTTGCGTGTGCGACAGAAGAGCCAGATCATCTGCAAAGCCTAGATCGTCCAGCTGCATCCTAGCTGTCCACTCTATTCCATACGTCCCCTCAGATGCTAAAGTCTTCATGATCCAGTCATTCACCAGGAGAAAGAAAAAGGGTGAGAGAAAGCAACCCTGCCTAACACCGGTCTTTACCTCGAACGAGTTCTACTGTACAGTTCTACTGTATGGGGCGGAAAGCTGGAGAACTACGAAAGCCATCATCCACAAGATATAAGTGTTTATTAACAATTATCTACGAAATATACTTCGGATCCGTTGGACAGACACTACCAGCAACAACCTAATATGGGAGAGAACAAACCAGATCCCAGAGGAGAGAGAAGTCAGGAAGAAGCGATGGAAGCGAATAGGATACATATTGAAGAAAGCATCCAACTGCGTTACAAGGCAAGCCCTCACATAGAATCCTCAAGGCCAAAGGAAAAGAGGAAGATCAAAGAATAAAATTACGTCGAGAAATGGAGACAGATATTAGAAAAATGAACAAAAATTGGATAGAACTAGAAAGAAATGCCCAGTACTGAGTGGGTTGGAGAATGCTGGTCGGCGGCCTGTCCTCCATTGGGAGTAACAGGCGTAAGTAAGTAAGAAAGTAATATCTATATAGTTACCTGTCTTATCTTCAACTAGAAGGTTATAACAGTTCGAGAATGAAATCAATTTTCGAGAAGTTTTCGTACTTATCATCGGTAATCCTACGAAATTAGGCAGAAGTAAACTTCAAACTCGGAATTCATGATCAAACGTCAAATAATTAAACCAAATGAATTAAATTAATATTTCAGATAATAGTTTATATAGATAAGAAAATAACTATGGTTGGATTATTTTACTCTTTGGTACTCAGTGGTACAATTAGTCTCTTTTGATGTATAAATAAGAATACAACTGTAAAATGAACAAATATAAATTATCGCAATGCGAATCCTCAAAATGACATATATCAGTACAAAATGTATATTGAGATTAATGTGTTTATATACGATATATAAATCTCAATAGTTGAGATTATGAGTTAATTGAAGCTAGATCACCATGGAAAACCTGGAAGCACTGGACAGCCATCTCGTCTTACTATGGGAATCCTCATCAGTGCCCATCCAGGATCCCGCCTCGCGAGATTCCAACCCACGACCTATCGGTCTCACACTTAAGCACTAGACCACTGATCCGGCATTCAATGGTGTTAATGTTTAAGTTCAACTAATCCACGAAATTCAGCGACACCATTGTCATCAGTGAGTTAGTATCTCACAACAGATCCGGTCGAACTCCACTGTTCACTGCTTCTCGCTAGAACTCGAGGAAATACCTCTTGGAGACCGTCACTAGTGAGCATATGTTGATTAATATCAGAAGGGGGTTTTGTGGAGATTGTAGTAATTTCGATAGTTGAGTTCATGAGTCATGGATGCACACTTCTGAGAAGTCCCACAACAGAACGAAACGGCCGTTCAGTGCTTCCAGGTTTTTCATGGTGGTCTAGCTCCCATTGACTCATGATCGTAACTATTGAAATTACTACAATCTCCACAAAACCACTTCTGATAAATAAATGCCTAACTATCAAATTTTACACAGATTGAACTAGTTATGCACTACTGACGAAACAAACTTACATACTGTTCGCTTTCTAAATGGATAACTTATACCAATAGTGTTCGTGAAATTAAACAGAATTTTAAACATCAATGAAGGTCTCAAAGTTTAAGCATGCAGGAAGAAGGATCATAAAAATCTCATTCAAAATGTACAAGAAGCATAGTTTAGTACACGTTTTATGTTAAGGATTTTAATGCGATCCAGGTACTTAGAATGAAATAGCTGAAAATGGATATGAACTTTCAAGCGAATTCTTAATGCATAGATTAAAGATAACTAAGAATCATTGTAAAATAATACTTCGTATTACATTTTAAAATAAGCTGTAATTTTTCGCTTGATTATAATTTTTACACTTTTCTAAAGATATTTACAGTGATATGTTACTTTATAAGACCCTACGTAATCACTGGACAGTAATTGTTGAAATGGGATTGATTGAAGTTAGACATTAACGCCGCTGAATGCCGGTCAGTTCAGTGGTCTAGAGGTTAAGCGCTCGTACGCGAGATCAATAAGTCCTGGGTTCAAATCCCGCGAGTGGGATCGTAGATGAGCACTGCTGAGGAGTCCTGTACTAGGATGAAACAGCTGTTTAGTACTTCCAGGTCTATCTTCAACTGACTCATGAATTCGACTATTAAATTATTGAACAATCTAAAATAAACTGTAAGGAAATATGAATCACTTCAAACTTTTGAATACTTGAACAGAAAACTAAATAACAAGTATAAAACAAATTCGTCAATGTGAACATTTTTATTTTACATTATAGAAAAATAGTATTTACAAAACATATTCAATTTTATACAGAATATGTCATATCTATAACTTCTAAAGGCCAAGATAATTCATAAAATGCTGAATTCGACATGATCTTTTGTGATGATGACGATGATGATGTATATAATAATTCACCATTATCTTGTTGTATAATATGATCAGTTAAATATGTAACACTTTTAGCTAGAATATGCCAACCATTTAAACATTCCTTTTTATCATTATAGTCATTATTATTATCTTTATTAGGTTGAACTAATTTACCAATTACAGCAACATAATCTCCAATATTTACTTTATAATTGACTGGTTGGTTTTTGTCTAAATCATAAACAATTAATAATTCACCTGTACCATCATCTAATATGAAATTATTATTATTACTATTAGGTGAGTGATAATTTTTAATGATTCTACCTTGTAACCAAAGCATACACCATGATAATTTCTTCAGAACACTATTATTAGTATTATTGGTGGTGGTGATGTTGTTGTCAAAGAGATCCATTTCCCAAATTTGTCGAATTGAATTATATATTGGCAATTTATCAATATTATGAAATAATTGTCCAATTAATAATTTTCGCATTAATGGAGGTGCTTCTAAATTAGACGACGACATTACTGTCTAAAATTCAATAATATCCAAACATATATTTATGATTAGTTAATATAAGAAAATAGTAGATATCTTGATAATAATAATAATAATAATAATAATAATAATAATAAACAGTTTCATTTGAGGATTAAATAGTAAATCACTGGAAATGACTGAAAATGGTAAAAAGAATATCAAAGATATTATTAGAAAAAGGATCAACAAGATAATGTTTAGGATAATAATCATCGAACATGTAGCTATTATGTCACGAAAAGGACCCCAAATGCCCTGGTAAAACCGAGAGTGGGGAGAGTCAACTCTATCTCTCTCGAAATGCTCTCACATGGCCACGTGCATACAATCACTGCCAGGGAAGTCCTACTCACTGCATTCTCAAGACGGGAGTGTTGCTTACAGAATTGAGGGGACGAAAAGCGAATGTCCGACGCTTTAATCGGGTTGATGAACACGGAGAGTTCAACTAGGGAAGTTGGAAAACCCTGATTCCAAATCAATGGTGCACATGGGCTGGCTCCAGGATCCTGAAGGAACAAATGGCGTATGAACCAATCGTTGGTCACCAGCTACCAGGGGACTTCATCTCCTGACGTTGGTCCACTGCCCTGTGGATTAAATCTTTAGATCAAAGAGTCGGGGTGTGGTCTCCTAAGAAAACCACCTGATTCGGTAAGGGCACCCGGGCACTAACCCGGCCCTCACACAAATCGACTGATTTATGCAACGCATATCTATTTAGTTCCTTATTGTACCTATGTTTAAGTGTTTAAATAAAAATAAAAATGTCACGGAAAGACATCAAGAGTGTGATATCATTAACAAAAGATTTTAACTTTCCAATAGTTTATAATAATGACTAAATCTTAATCAGTATTTGTAAGAATATATGTATCCTGCGGGGATTACTTCAAAATAAGCAATTTTCAAAGATTTATAGAATAATTGGATTTGTAGATATCAATGGAGTATATAAATCCAATTTTGTCCTATTTTAGATACGTCACTAATAGTCAATGGTTTGAGTCTCAATATGAACATAAAAATTGGGATCATGTATTCAGTTGACAAGTCCGAATTAGGACGAAATGTGTGTCTTGAATCTTGCTGTTAGTCATAGATGCATTTATTCTACCAGTTAAAAATAGGATAATTATCATTATTATTATCAGATGAATAGATTTAACACTGAAATTGATTATATGCTGTCTCAATTAGAACCTGAAAACTCACATAGTCTTATCTAAAAACTAAGGGCTTTCACAAGTATTATTTGCAATATATCTTTAAAGTAAACTGATGACTTGTCTACAAATAACTTCAACTATCAAATAACAACTACCACATAAAGCTATTAAAAATGTTCTTACCACAGGATAATTCACTAATTACTTGAGTTCGTAACCAATAGTCAGTCAGCTACAACGTCGGACCAGGCATATATATGCATCGGTCCAGGTTGCCATACCTCATTAACACAACAAGATGAACGCCGGATTCATAAAAGTAGTTAATTCAGAGGTGGTGATATACAAAAGAAAGATTGCATATAAGGATATAGCACAGGAAGAAAGAATTATTTCATAGAAAGAAAGATATGAAGCGATTTTAATCTCTTAGTTTAGGGGAAGACAGAGAGTGTATACACCTTCGTCACTGTGATAGATTCTGAGCTATGTCACCCAGAGTCTACAACCATTGGTTACGATAGTCACGCGGACCCCAACCAAGTAGTCTGCATCTATCAACATGACTCGTGACCGATAGAAACGTGTACATATTTATTTATTAAATATTAATAAGAAATACATTTATTTTTATATTCCAATGAGAAAAATTGTATTTCTGACATTTTGTAACTTAGTGTGAGCCATTTCTTCAATCTACTCAGAAGAAGTGGCTTACATTAAGTCGCAAAACGTCGGAAATACAATATTTCTTCCCATTGGAATATTACAAAAATATGGATTTATTATTAACTTTCTACCCAACGCTCAATTTATTTGAAACTATCAAGTTCAACTTTGGCATCGATACCTATAAACTCATTAGTAAATATTACTTAGTTCGATATTAAAAGTAATTGATGGATAGTGTTAATTATGCTTAGACATGGGCTAGATTACAAAACCTTAATGAATCATTAATATATGTAAAGTAGATAGTCTAATCGACAATACTAAATAAATTAATTGAATAAAGTTAATAAAACATTCTGTTTCACAGAAAGTCTACTGATTAATTAACAACTAAAAATGTATCAACACGTTCCCCCATATACAACAATCTCCAAAAGCTAATGCTTGGAATACATAGTGGGTATAAAAGTGATGTTTTTAGTGATGATACGAATCAAATAATCATTCTACTTTTAGACAACTACTCATAACCTTCATTTTTCAGTTAACATGAAGTGAAATACATGTTTTTATTGAAATAGCATTACAAAGAACCATAAAGTAAGTTTCGCTTAATAATAAATGTTAAACTACTTGTTACACTTATAGGTCTAAAGCTTCTTGCCAATCGCTTAATGTTAAACACAATGAATTACAATCACGAGCCACTTAGTTCAATGAATATGTGTACTCCTAAGCAAAGAAGGACATTAGTTACTGATCCGTGGTCCATTAATCCACACTTCTATTCGCCAGTTCTTGCGAATTTCATTCATCAAATAAAACTAAATCAAAAAATCCGTTTAAATGACTAAATAACGCAACAGTTATTCGAAATTCATATCACATATTACGATAACATGGTTATCAAACTTTGATAGTAAATATCTAATACGTGACTGTAAACAATCGTAATGCAGTTTTGTATAGCTGTTTGTAGCTTATCAAAATCTAAGATTATTCGGATTTCACTACAGGTTCCATCATAATGAAAAATGCTATGCAGTTTTATATCAAGCCATTATGCTTTCAAATTTATTATAACCATCTTAAGTGAGGATTTCGTTGGGAGCATAACAAACCTGACTGAAACGACCTGAGGAAGAAGAGCTACTTTTACAATATTTGAACGAAATAAGATCACTGTTTACTACATACATTGATATGAGCACCAAAGGAAATTAAACTAATCTCGAATAGATTATGATTAATAAACTGGAAAAGGAAAGAAATTCAATTGAATATTTTCAAAATTCCTTTTGAATCCTACTGTTGAATATTTTTTTCCAAAAAAAAGCAACAGGACAGGTATGCTTACAACGAGTGTGGTGTATGCTACTGATGTCGACAGATATAAGTAGTATTTTTCATCAATCGAAATTGAAATGTCTGGAGATAGAAGGTTAAGAAGAACGAAGAAAAGAAAACGAAAACAAAGAATTATTTGTTCTGAAACGAAAGAACAATGAAATCTTAGACGGTTGACTGATATTTGCAAAAGGAACAGTCAAGTTTGAGACAACCGAATGACACTTTACAAATGGAGTATTTATTATATGGTTCTGAGATTTTACTAAGATGTTCTGTAACTTTGTGTTCAAATATATTCGATTGTCTTCACATATGTTCTTGTTCACTACACAAGTACATATGTGACAAAACACTAATAAATTGAATACAAGACAAGGATAACAGAAAAGTAGTCTTTATTGATAACATAAAGTAGCAGTGACTCTTTGAAATACTCATATTCATTCATTCTAGCTTTTTGAAAAGAAATAATTTCGCCTATCCTTTAAATGTTTGCATATTTATCTTGATCAATAGAGAAAAAACCAGCTTCCGGTTTAAGGAGGAAATTAGGAAAAGACGATGGAAATGGATAGGATATATATTACGAAAATCACCACAACTGCATTACGAATCAAGCCTCAACTTGGAATCCTAAAAGGAAGCGGAAAAGAAGAAGGCCAAAGAACACATTATATCGGGGAATAGAAGTAGATATGTAAAGGATGAATAAAAACTGGAAATGATTGCCCAGGACAGGGTTGGATGGAGAGTGCTGGTAGGCAGCCTATAGTCCTCTGCGAGGAGTAACAGGCGTAAGTAAGTAAGTAATCTTGGTCAATTATTGACTTATAAACTTGAAGGTTGTTATGAATCAGAATAATCAACAGAATATGTATGGAAATAATCATTGATTGTCAATAATGAAGTCAACTTAAAGCTACAGGATTGAATCCATTGGTCATTTCATAACAAGTAATTATAAAAATGATGTCATTCATGTATATTACTCCATACAAACAATCATAAACATACACAATTAGAAATTAAATCAAAACATAAAAACAAAATGTTTGCAAAGTAACTTCAAATATATATTTTATATATATATATATATATGTATAGGTCCATTCATGTTGATATGGGTCGCTTATCCATATTGTTTCTAGGAATAAAATTGTATAATGCGGTTTTATTGTTCCAAGAGAAACAAAATTAAAACATAAAAGAGACAAAAAAAAACACAAACACTGACAGTTATTTGAAAGTTTTTTTCTCTTCTTCTCTTCTCTTTTTTTTTTTTATTAAAAAAAATATCTATATATAAAGATCAAAATAGGTTTTCTGTGTGATTTGTGCTTGAATTCATTCAATACATCATATTAATTTATATTCACAAGATCTAATCAAATACATCAAGAGAGATAGTAACAAATTGGTAGGTGAAAAATCACTATCATTTTTGTGCTTTTTAAAGAAAGAAAGAAAAAGAAGAAGGGAAAAACTAAACAACCTTTTATTGAAGCAACAAAAAAACTATCTCAATAAGACGATAATTGTAATATTAGTAATAATAACCGTTGTTATGATAAATGAATAAAGTCAAATAAATTTTATGATCACATCTATCAATATATAGGAAGAGAGAGAGAGGGTGGTGGTAAAAGAGAGACGTTATCGATATGTGTAGTTGAGTTTACCTTCTCTAATTCTATACGAGGCACATATGGAACCATAACTGAATACATGCAAAAAGAAAGAAAAAGGAATAAGTCAATAGATACTCCCCTCCTTTCTTGTTGTTTTGTTTACAACAACAACA